ATTATAGCCATCACAACAGAAGTGTGACTCTTTACACGTGTGCAATGTAACAGGCTCACGACCAGAATGTTTTACATTATGTTGTGAGCATGTATGAATCATTCGATCTTTACTGATTACAAAGTTGAACACTTTATCTTCTTGTTGTAATTTGAATTCAGAATGTAAAGAATTAAGTACAATAGTTAATTTCATAATAACGAAATAAAAAGGGCAGCAAACTGCTATAGCCCTTTGACGGAATGAGAATATTCTAAAAATTACGGAAAATTTGCCTTTATAAGTCCATCTCAAATTTCTGCGCAAAAGTGGCAAAAAAAAAGCGTTTCCAGCTTTTACCTCTCGTAATTGTAGAATTCGCTTCCGATGTTGAGGAAGGAGTAACTTAAAGAAGTAACATCATCATCATCAGAATCATCATCATTACTACAGTCCATCACAAGTCAACTGCTAAACATAGGCCTCTCCCAAGTAATGCCACAGAGCATGGTCCTGAGCCACCTGCATCCATCGACTTCTTGCATCTCCTACCAGGTAATCACTTCATCTAGTGGGGGCAGCCTTACACTTTACTTACTGATACGAGGATGCAACTCACTTCAGAGCAGAGAGCCCACTTCAGGTTACTGATCCGTTGCTCTATGTCAGTGATTCCAATTCTGCTGCGGATATTCTAATAACTGTCCATCCCTCGCTAGGCGACCTTGCGCTTCCTCATACCAGCAGTGAAGGACCATGTTTCATCCATATGTCATTTACTGCCAACACGCAATGGTTGCACACTCTTATTCTCGTTATGATCGAAAGATTCGTTGATTGAAGTAACACTAAGAGTAACTGAAAGGAGTCAAAAACTTATTTCATACTATATATATATAAAAATTACGTGTCACGTTGTTTGTCCGCGATGCACTCCTAAACTACTGAACTGATTTCAATGAAATTTTGCACACTCTGTGCAGTTTGGTCCAACTTGAGAGATAGGATAGTTTTTATCCTGATAAATGACGCTCAATATTTTTTTATTACGAATTTTAGGATTTTTTATATGAAGGGTCGTCGAAAAGGGCAGAACAACGTCTGCCTGGCCAGCTAGTTTCATACTATATCAAGCATTGTTCATATTTAAGAGAGAACGTGGCCGTTGCTCTTTACTCAAACGGTCTTTCTTTATTGAGGTGACACACCCGTCCTTTGTAACCCTTTATGGCTAGAGGAATAAAGTTTTTAAATAAACCAAATACATAAATTAATAATTTGAAGATCATTTCCTATTAGTTTTACTTAGTCACTATGTAGTTCCAAAAATGTACTAGTTTTATTATAGCTTTCAGATTTTTTAGCCTTTTGTACTATAATTAGCAAAATAGCGCACTTATGGAATTTTTAGGTGTCTGTTTGTTGGTCACAGGGTTCTTCGCTTGATTTGCAATACAATGTAATTAAAATATTCATTTACACAAATTTTACGTGGTAGAGCCATGCTGCAGCTATAAGTTGTAGCACGAATGGGTCGGCTCGACCGGGGAAGGACCACGCTCTCACAGAATACCAGCGTAAAATAGCAGCTTAATGCTGCTGTGTTTCGTATGGTGAGTGTAGAGAACCGGATACCTTTTTTACTGAAAATGAGATCATTCTATCTTAGTTCTCACGAGTGACAACGCATTTTCATTTTGATTCTTTATTGAGGATAAATGTAGATGTCTATGGGCCACAGCAACCACTTACCATCAGGTGGACTGTGTGCTCGTTTGTCACTAGATCCTATAAAAAAAAAATACGAACACGAGGTTGAAGTTACTATTTTTGACATTAAGGTGTTAAGATAATTATTGTCGTAAAATAAAATGTCTTTAAAGTAAATTTAAAGATATTCAAACGCCCGTTTGAATATTTTTACGTAGCCCACCAACGATTCAAAGTGTATTTGACCAATTTTTCGTTTTACGTATTTTATTTGCTTTAGTTTCTTTTAAATAAATATAAATTAAACTAATAAATTATTTTAAAAGAAGAAGGCAAATATTTTACTAAATAAAGGATAATGATTCGGAAAACATATTCACTTCGTTATATATTTAGTTCGTTGTGTATAAAAGCAGGAAGTATGAAAAAATTAAAAAAAAAACATCTACAATATGTGTTTTTTCAATAGTTAAAGCTTTATGTAATTGTGATACAAAAAAAAAATAATAAGATTTTTGGATGCTGTTATTGTTTGACTACGCTTTCGAATTCAGAGAAATAAAAATTGATTATAAAGAAATTGAAAACTTTGTAGGGTAAAATATAAATATTTTTGAAACAAAAACAGGAATGGATAGGATTTTTTATTGAATAAAGGTTATAAACGAGCACACAGTCCACCTGATGGTAAGTGCTGTGGCCAATAGACACCTACGAGTACATTTATTCTCGGTTAAAAATCAGAATGCAGATGCGTTGTCACCCCTACTAAGACTAACTACTATCAGGACTAAGATGGAATGCTGCATTTCCAAATAAAGGGTATCCGGTTCTCTACACTCACCATATGAAACACAGCAGCAATAAGCTGCTATTTTATGCTGGTATTTTGTGACAGCGTAGTCTATCCTCAGTCGAGCTGACGCATTCGTGCTACAACCATATCTGCAGCATGGCTCTACCGCGTAAAGGATGAATATAAGTTAAGTAAACGTAAACAGGTGGCTCAGCTTCGTGTTTTGTGGCATTCCTTGGGGGAGGCCTATGTTCAGCAATGTACAAGTGAACATTCATTCATTCATTACAGCCCTTCTGTAATGAATGAATGAATTAATGAATGAGTGAATAAATAAATGAAGAACCATAAAAATCTAGTTTTATTCAATGTGTAGTGTTCGCATAAATATAACAAATCATTTAACACTCTGACCATTGCATTGTATTAATGTATATATGGCAACGGATGCCATATCTTATACTTTGTGTGCTGTACATAATTTGTTTAACCTGTTTTATAGAAATTGTCGACCCGAAAGCTCCACGCTACTTAAACACAATATTCATAACATTCTTCGTTATTTCTTTGTATTTGATATCGGAAAATTATTGTTGACATACTCGTAATTTTCCGTTATTACCCTAGCGATCTTTTATTCATGTATTTGGAAAAAGTTTTCTACTGGAAACATTCATGTATATGCGTCTGTGATATGTTTCTTTTAACATTTTATATTCTTGGTAGCGAAGCGTTTTGTTTTAACATCGCTGTATAAAAAGAACTTTACTGGTTCAAATATACTTTTTATTGCGATTAAAACAACCAACATTAAGCTAAGTATTAAAATGTTTCACAACAATATTATGAAACATTTTAATATTTAACGTCATAAACATCCTTCACAAAATATCATATATGTATGTATGTATTTTAATTTTCAAATTCGAGATGTAAACGTTTTTTTAACTTGAAAGAAACAATATAGCCAGTGTAATAATGCCAGTTAGAATTCTCCTGCCAATACTCAATTATCTCGCCAGTCAACGCATGGCGTGGTGAAAAAATATTGGCAGGTGCCTTAAATAACTAAATAGAATACTGGAAAAGGTGTAACACATATTAAATTAGGCTTACAAATTACCCAAGTACACATAAATACAAACAAATACATATTAATCGGTATATACACCATTTATCTTTAATATACAGCGTAGTGACGGTGTAAGAATATACATACAACAAGCGAGAAATAATAACTCGTATTAGGTCTCTTCTTTTTTTCTTTAAATTGACAAAAACGTACTTGCGGTCTACAATGTCTCAAGCAAGATTAACTACTTTAATTAATTTGCTGTAATTCTTAAGAGATATCTTCTTAATTGTAATTCTCAGAAGTGTCACATATTTTATAACTGAATCAATTTATATTATAAAACGTTTTATCAACAACACGCGTATCTAACTTATAACTCGTTCAATAACTCCAGCGCACTCACAATACATCTTTCCTCGGATAAAACAAATACACAACTTATTAAAGGAATAGGAACTGCAAACTGGCACCTACATTTAACTATTTGTATTAAAAGTTCCCGGTTCGCCATGTAGTGACGGCGTGGCACAAGAGAATCCACTACTCCATACTATACCGTCGTAAGAGGTGACAGAAGGAAATGAAACAGAACTGTCCATAGGCAGCAGCATTCACTAGGTGGTACCACTTACTTATTTCTGCCACCTTATAACAGTACCATGTGCACTGGCGTGTTTCGCCTGAAGTTATATATAAAGCTAGTATAATAACAGTCAGTGAGACATTGCATCTTAGTCATCAGAGCTCACAACGCATCTGTAGCGTTCTTAGTTTGAATTTGGCTGTAGGTGTCCATGGCCTGCTGTAGCCACCTTCGATCAAATGGAATCAAAGTTCTTTTGTCAATTCAGTTATATAAAAAAAAGAATCTCACTGATAACAACTTAAAATAATTAAAAACTTCAGTTCAACCTGCCTGTCCAGAGTGGCAAGTGTGGAAAATATTCCTCCCGATGAAACTATCATGAGACTATCATGATGATGAGAAAACAAGAAAACAAATAAATTTGTCCATTATTATTAAAAAAACCGTGCCGAATTTTAAATGAAAACAATTATTTATAGAAATTAATCATGTTTTTCCTATTGTCGATTCTACTAAAGGCAACTTGCGGACACATGAACAATAAAATTATTATATTTCATACTGCTTCTGCACAAACTGAATTCTATTTGAATCCCCCGATTTGGAATTATACGGATTGCCGTGCTAAATTCAAATTGATTACATTATCCTAAGGAGGAATGGTGGTCTTAACTTGATGACAGAGTAAAAAGAGCTGGAGTTGAAGTGAGAGACCACAGAGACCGGTACGGAAGTGTTTGAAAGTTATATTTAAACAAAATAAAAGAAAATAAAATAAACCACAAAACACTGGACACGATTAAAAATTACAATGTGATAATTATTTTAATAAGGGTCAGTTAATATTGGCTTACCTTAAATAATCATAAGCTTGCCTCGACGTGCTTGATATAATTGACCTGAAATGAAATAAATACATTATTGCTACTGTTATGCTAGAATTAGGTTTTAATTTAAGTAACATTTATTTGTTTTTATTATTTTGGATTATTAACTAATTAGTATTTATTAGAACCTATAAAATAAATGATTTTAACTAATTGATTACGCTTGTAAAAGCCTGAAAAGTAAACAGACAAGACATTGCATGAGTTCTTTTACGAATTATATCATTATGAAACGAATGTTAGGTGTATGGGACCAAAAAAAAAACTTAAATGGTTATAATCGATAACGATAACATGAATAATTAGACTACGCAAGTCCAACGACAAAATATCTAATGTTTCCATTTATCTGTAAAAATATAAATCTAAATAAACTTGTAAACGTCGTAACTGATAGTTTTTTTTATTTATTTACAAATACCTCAGTAATTGAGAATATGGTTGAAAAAACTTAAAATAACTTTCTTATTTATAACCACCACAAAAAAAAAACCACGTATGTACATATTATGTAAAACTTTGGCTTAATACATCTGTTTATTATGTATTGTTCTTACCTTATTTGTTTCGTTATCAAAAAAAAAGCATCAATTATATCAATGAGTATTTCACTTTTTAATATTCTTCCCTGAAAGAGGAGATTGTGGTCAACCGGCCTGAATACATCCTAAGAAGTATTATTCTATTCTTGAAATCTTTTTCTTACAAAAAAAAAATTAAATTTTTATATATTTTATAATAATTGTACATTCTGGAAGTCGGTCCTAAGATATTCCGGTGTAAAATATTTTTTGTTTTTAGTTCTTTGAAGTGCACTTTCACTTTTCCTATTCAGTGGACTAAAAAATATCACAACCACAATGTCCTCTAAATAGTTAAACCTCATCCCCTTTTGAAGGTATGCCGTAACATATATACAAAAAAAACTGTATATTTTTATTTATTTATTTATTTATTTATTTATTTCTACCTCTGTCTTTACAGGCGTACCTAATACGACAGTGTAGGCACATAAACTATCTAATTTAACAAGGACAGAACACAACTTATCTACTATTATAACACAATATATATAATGTCACTTTTGTGAATTCACCCAAGGAACAACAGAATAAATCTACATCCTGAGCTACTTTATTTAGAGTGTGCAGCACTCGGGTCAGTGGGGCCTCCTTTAGAAGGTTGGTGCGTGCGCGCGGTACCGCGAACAGCGGAGGCCGCTTCCGGCGCCACACGTACCTATCCGGCACACACAACTTAGCCATTCGCAATATCGCCTCGTTATACACTTTTCCACGCAGCAATTTAAACATATATGTTGCCAAACTTAACTCCCTCCTAACCTCCAGTTTGTTATACCCCACCATGCCTAGAACAAATAATGTTGGGTACATTAATGGGTAGAACGGATACACTCCATATAGTTTTAAATAAAGAAATCGAATAAACTTATTTTGTATCCGTTCCACCATCATTTTGTATTTAGCTTCATGCGGGCTCCATACAAATCCATTACACTCTAGGTGACTTTTCACTAGTGCTTCATATAAGGCCCGGACCGCACAGAGATTTGTAAATTCCCGCGACTGACGTAACACAAATCCCAAATTTCTATACGCCTTCTTGCAAATCTTAAGAATGTGTTCCCTAAAATTGAGTTTCGAAGTGAAGTGCACACCAAGGTCTTTTACTTCTGTTACGCGCTGCAAGGCTACTCCGTCTAAATTATATTTGTATGTGTGAGGCTGGCGTGAATGTGTGAACGACATGACTGAGCATTTGGAAGTGTTAAAAAATAACTTATTCCTATGACTCCATTGTACTACTCTGTCAATGTCCGCCTGTAGTTTGTCACAGTCAGCTGAGTCCCTAACTATTGACACCAATTTTAGGTCATCCGCAAATAGAAGGCATGTTGATTGCCATACAACATCGGGTAGATCATTAATCATTAGGACAAACTTCAGGGGGCCCAAATTACTACCTTGACTCACTCCTGACCTGGTAAGGTATGGTTTTGACAGTTGACCAGCCCAGTCTACAAATTGGCTCCTATTTCTCATGTAGCTAGCGAAAAATGACAATGTTTTCGGCGTAAAACCCGCCTGCGCCAGTTTCATGAGTAGAATATCATTGTCGACCGTGTCAAACGCCTTACGGAAGTCAAGGTATGCGACATCCACCTGTGCCCCCGAATCCACTGCTGGTACCACTTCTGACATCAGATGAAGCAGATTACTGCCGGTGCTACGTGCCGGGCGAAATCCATGTTGCGCGTCCGAAAGTTGAGCGCTTACCTGCATATATAGTGAGTGATGTAAAGCTGACTCAAAAACCTTTGCCAGCGTACACAGAACTGCCACTGGTCTATAATCCGAAACTTTTGTACCACCACTGCCTTTGGGTACCGGTACCACCCTGGTTAATTTCCACCTATTAGGAAAAATTACACTGTTGAGACAGATATTAAATATATGGAGAAACGGGGCCTCGAATGCCTCACGACAGTCTCTAACAATATACGGAGGTATACCATCTGGACCTGTGGAGCATTTGGGCTTGAGTCTGGCCAGCGCGCGGCGCACGTCGGCAAGGCTCAGCTCGTTGAGGTGCACACGATGCGCGTAACCGCCACCCGGCGCGCAAGCCGCGCTTGCCGCTGCCGCCACGTCCAACACGGCAGGTTCCGAGTTATACACCGAGTGAAAATATGCCGCTAATTCATTTGCACATTCGCTCTCTGATAAGAAACGCCCATCCTTAATTAATTTATTTTTGTTAATACCACCTCGTTTACTTTTCACGAAAGTCCAAAACCCCTTTGGATCTTTCACAAAACTATTCTGTACTCGCTCCTGGTAAATACTATGAGCTTCATTAATTGCTTTTTTAACTCGCGCTCGACATTGCGAAAAAGCATGATAATCATCATTTGACCCACTGGTCTTATATTTTTTATGTAACTTGTATTTAAGTTGTATTTCGCGAATGACCTCCATTGAATACCATTGTGGGTAGCTATACCTTCTGTTTGCTAATCTATGCTTTTTAACAGGAACACAATTATTAAATATATTATTTATGGTACTATAGAAATAGTCTAGAGCAACCTCTAAATCAAAAATGGTGTATAGTTCACTCCAATCTATCACCGAAATACTACTGTATAACAAACTGAAGTCTGCCTTAGAAAAGTTCCATTGTTTCTGGTCACCTGAGCATTTGTTGTCCGTTGTAGCGTGTTCTTCAAAATCCGTCGCTGACAGGCAGACCATCAATGGTGGATGACAATCATCTACCGGTTGTAAACCCTCAGTCTCACGTACTGATATCACACCTGTTATACCACTGCCGTGTAATACTAAGTCTAACTGTCTGCCCATGAAATTCTCCACACTACTGCCCTGGATGAATTCACAGAAGGACATAAAATACTCAAAATAATTACAAACATCTTGATTGGCTGAATATAGATTAAAATCTCCTAAAACTAAAACATTATTTTTGTACTTTACACATATATCCTCTATGACGCTAAACATAATCATATATTCTTCAAAATTTGTCTGGGGTGGAATGTACACTACACAACATGTAAATAAGAATCTGTTTCTTAAGTGTATTGTAGCACAGGTTAATTCAAACGCATGATCATCCACGTTAACATTATCCGGTGTAGGTACGTTACGCAGTTCAAACCGCGGTGCTGCCACTAAACACGTTCCTCCCTGCTTACGGCCGTCCGCTCGATCGCAGCGTAGTATTTGGTAGCCGGAAGGGACGATTTCTGCATCTTGGAATGATGCGTTGAGACCAGTTTCCGTTATCGCTAGTAAATCATATACCGATGACTCAACGAGCGAGAAGAATTGCATTAATTTTGTTCGTAATCCTCTTACATTTTGGTATAATATTTCTGTCGTTTTATTTTTACAAACAAGGTTGCGCTCTTTTTTCTTTGTCACGAAAGTTCTGTCGCCACGGTTTTACGCAGATATCTTCAGCCCAATTATTAGGTGACATAATACTGTCGGCAATCTTCAATGGTACTCCCAACTTAAATGATGAGTAGCGCCCCCGAGATTTCAGTTCTTCTACTGTGCAATTATTATTACCACAAATTGAATACAGATGTGCACGCACCTGTTCAACAGTGGTACCCTCCTGCACGTAGTAGAGATGTAGGTACCTCCACCGCTCAGATGCACGAAGCTCAGTTGTTCCAGGTGCAGCCGTTCCACGGAGCACTCCCAGCCGTGATGCTCGTCCAGGTTTCCGTCGCACCTGTATCCACTCCTCCTGGTTTTCTTGTTCAACTGTATCTGTGGTCTCTAGGGTTGCATCCAGGTGTATATTTATATTCGATGCGTCCAACACAGAAGCAAAGGTAGGAGGTGGTGGTGGTGAAGAAGATGTGGTTGTTTTAACTTTAGAGGGTGCATAAAGCTTACCAGCATTTTCCTTTTTTTTTCTCCTGTATGCCTGTTAGATTTTTTACCTTTGTCTTCCCAACATCTAGGTTTAGAGCGGGATTGGAGGATTTTTGCACCACTACTGTACTGGCCTGCGTTGGTGCACTGTTACGTTGATCTATTATTTGGATATTTTTTTCCAATGAGTCAATTTTACATTTGAGATAGTTTATTTTATCAAATACTGTTGTCTTGAATTCATTAAATTGCTCAGTTAGTAACATGCAAATTTTCGTTGTTAAGCGTGATTCGAATTCGTCCTGAATTTGTTTAATTTCCCTCACTACAGGGGCCATATTATGTGGGCACTGGGCGGGCTTTATAACCCTTGGTGCCTGGCTCTGTCCATTCCGGAATGTGACATTATCGAAGCTATACATCGATACATCTAAGCATTCATTAACAACACTCATATCATCGGTTTGCTGTTGACGCACCGGTGTATGGGTATTATCATTTTTGGGAATTTTGCTTCGACATTCAAAACATATCCATGTCTTCTTAAATTCAGACGTCAGCGTAGCAAACACCTCTGTAGCA